AATGTTTTTACAGTTCTAACTTTAAACAGATCATAGATTTCACAAATCAAAAGTGCTATGATTTGCTGAAAGACAAAGAGTATTGGGAAAGAAGTGTTAAAAGTAGAGACAGATTGTTCTGGAAAGAACATGATGGCTCATGTACTACAGATAATAAGATTATAAAATCATAGTTTGGGTTGGAGGGGACCTTTAAAGGTCATCTAGTCCAACTCCCCCTGCAATGAGCAGGGAAATCTTCAACTAGATCAGGTTGTTCAGAGCCCTGTCCAACCTGACCTTGAATGTGTTCAGGGATGGGACATGTACCACCTCTCTGGGCAACATGTTCCAGTGTCTCAATACTCTCTCATAAAAAATTTCTTCCTTATACCTAGCTGAAATCTACCCTCTTTTAGTTTAAAACCATTACTTCCTGTCTACCTCAACAGACCCTTCTAAAACATTACTCTTCATCTTTCTTATAAGCCCCATTTAAGTACTGAAACACTGCAATAAGGTCTCCCTGGAGCCTTCTCTTCTCCAGGCTGAACAACCCCCAACTCTCTCAGCCTGTCCTCAAAGGAAAGGTGTTCCACCTCATTTTTGTGGCCCTCCTCTGGACCCTCTCAACAGATTTATGTCCTTCTTATGTTGGGAGCTCCAGAGTTGGACACAGGTGGGGTCTCAAGAGAACAGAGTAGAGGGGCAGAATCACCTCCCTCGACCTACTGGCCACACTTCTTTTAATGCAGCCCAGGATACAGATGGCCTTCTGGGCTGTGAGTGCACATTGTCAACTCATGTCCAGCTTTTCATCCACCAGTACCCCAAAGTCCTTCTCAGCAGCACTACTCTCAATCCCTTCATCCCCCATCCTGCGCTGATACTGGGGGTTGCCCCAAGCCAGATGCATGACCCTGCACATGGCCTTGTTGAACCTCATGAGGCTCACACTGGCCCACTTCTTGAGCCTGTCCAGATCCCTCTGGATGGCATCCTGTCCCTTAGGCATGTCAACTGCACCACTCAGATTGGTTTCATCTGCAAACTTGCTGAGGGTGCACTCGATCCCACTGTCTATGTCATTGATGAAGATATTGAACAGTACTGGCCCCAGTACACACCCCTGGGGACACCACTTGTCACCAGCCTCCATCTGGACATAGAGCTGTTGACCACTACCCTCTGGATGCAACCATCCAACCAATTCCTCATCCACTGAAAAATTCACCCATCAATCCATCTGTCTCCAATTTAGAGAGAAAAGTACGGTGGGGGACCACAACAAAGGCTATAGAAAAATCCAGATAGACAACATCCATAGGTCTTTGTCCACTGATGTAGTCACTCCATCACAGAAAACCACACGGTTGGTTAGGCAAGGCTTGCCCTTGGTGAAGCCATGATGCCGTCACAAATCACCTCTGTGTCCTCTGTGTGCCTTAGAATAGCTTCTAGCAGGATCTGTTTCATGATCTTCCCAGACACAGAGGTGAGGCTGACAGGTTGGTAGTTCCCAGGGTCCTCCTTTCTACCCTAACAGTGGGTGCAAGTTTTTCTTTTTCCAGTTGCTAGGGTCTCCACCTGACTGACATGACTTTTCAAATATCAGGGGGAGTATTTTAGCAATGACATCAGCAAATTCTCTCAGGACTCAAGGCCAGGTTGAATGTGGCTTTGAATAACCTGGTCTAGTAGAAGATGTCCCTGCCCATGGTGGGGCAGTTGGAATTAGATGATCTTTGAGGTCCCTTCCAACCCAAACCATTCTATGATTCCCACAGAACCACATAATAATAGACTGGGCCCATCTGTTTCTTCCAGTGTCACTGCCTGCAACTGGAAGGAGAGAGGAAAAAATTCCAGATTCCCTTACCATCCATCCCAAGGCCCTGAAGTCTCTTTTGATAGCCCTTGGACTATGCGTTGCGGCTTTGTCACCACTCACATGGAGGACCAGTAATGGGTAATAGTCCAAGGGCTGTACCAGGCTAGGAAGGTTCCTAGTGATGTCCCCGACGCAGTCCCCATGGAGGCAGCAGACTTCCTTAAGAGGAGTGTCTGCCCAGCATATCGGCCCCTCTGCCCTTTCTCCTTTCCTTTTCTTCCTTGTGGAGGTGGTCACGATATGGGGGTTAGACCTTTCTGACCTTGGCAACACCTTTGGTGAAGATGGACCACCATCCACATCATCCACTGACCGGCCTTCCACATCCAGAGCCTCGTACCTGTTGCACAAAGGCACCTGGGAAGGCAGGGTGCGCAAGGGTGGGATTTGCCTGATACCCCAGGGGGAACTCCATTCACTGATGTCCTTAAGTTACTGCCTTCAGCCTGCTGGGGGGAGGAGGCAGGATCCCCTTGAGCTTGTGTGGTTGGGGGTGTTTTTTTGTTGTGGTTGTTTTTTTGTTGTTGTTTTTCTTTTTCTTTTTTTTTTTTTCTAGTGGCCATTCCTGTTTCTGTCTCAGGGAGGGCAGAATATGGTTCTCTCAGGCTCTCTGATGCTCCTTAACCTTTCTACTTCCTCTTGTAGCTCTGCCACCAGGCGGAGCAGATCAACCACCTGGTCACACCTCACACAGCTGTTCTCACTACTGCCATTCATTACCAGGAAAAGGCTCTGCTGTGCCCTGTAGCCCAAGACCTGGAAGGCTGCATGTTTTTGTGGGAGCTCCATCTGTTTTGCTACGTCTGTTTTGCTGAGTGCAGAGGACAATAATCCACATTAAGGTTTGATTTCTTTTACCATTCAAACTAAAATGAATCTGGAAAAGAAATACTTCTTTGGGCAAAAGTGGCATTTCTGGAGTAAGTTTTATGAACTCTTTTTAGGGATTTTGTGTTGTTTTGTTTTTTAAATTTATTGTGAACTAAAACACAGGATTTAATGTTTTTACCTATTTTGTGGAACAGCTACTGAATTTAATCTTACTAGCTGATTAACAGTTACTTAGTCATACATCTAATTCCAGAGATAACATTGGAAAACCAGAGCAGTAGATTCAGGAGCAATATGAAGCTTCAAGAACTTCTAAAGGCATGTTAAGAACTGACTTCAAACAGTATTTTCTTCGCTTTTTTGCTTGCTGGCAGACTGTGTGTGGAAATAGCAGAGTTCTGTGATACTCCTATAAAGATTGCAACAATGTAAGCAGTTTGGAAAGAGTTACATCTAGAACAAAGATCAGATGGGTATATATAACAAGAAATCTATTTTTGTGTTCTTTCCTTTCAAAGAAAAGAGAAAAAAAGTATAGTTGAGCATTTTGTGCTCAACAGTATTTATTTCAGTATCTTAAAATAAATATGTAAGTAATGTAAAGTAAAATTTAAATAGTGAGCAAATTATAATTGGCATTTAAATTCAGTACATGCATGAGCATAATATATAACTATCAAAAACAATGTTTCCTAATTACCCAGGAGTCCAGAGTGGACTGTTTACTTAATTTACTTTTAATCACTTTATTTTGTATTTTCTCAGCTGTATATGCAAATGACATACACAATGTCACCTCTGGCATAAATGTGGGTGAAAGAAGGAAAACTATTAATTGATCTTTAGGCAGAATTGATTCACCCAAAGCACTAGGCTTTAATTTGAGTCTATGCAGAGAAATAAAATGAAACTCCAATGAGCAGTCAGTCTAGATGTTTTCACATGCAGATGGAAATCATAAAAAGCAAGCTGAATCCTTTTGACTATGGTTATACAGTTCTGAAATAAATGGAGAACCTGGGGCTAGATTAAAGAAAAGATAGAGGCATACCGAGTATATTTAGAATAAGAAAAAAATCTACAATGATGCAAAAAAAAAATCTTTCTAAAATGTTACACTTAAACAAAAACTAAAAAAAATTCTTAACAACACATAACACAAATGTATTATCAGAAAAGAAAGAGTCAGTCTCATTGGCAATTTGAGAAATAACTACCCAAATACAGAAAAAGTAGTTTATGTATACATGGTAAATATATTGTAGAAACTTGGTGCCTTATCCTAAGGAGAACCTAATTTATTTTATTTAGTATAAAAGTTTAAAAGTATATATAATATATATACTTAAAAAGTATAAAAATTTATTTAGTATAAAAAGAAAAATTTCATCCCTTTTTCTGCCTTTCTTCTTCTTGCTTTGCTTAGGAATGAAACTGTTTGCACAGCACAGAGACTAATTGATCCTGTAGGTCCTTGTGGAATATCAGTAATGTTTAAAAATTTTTCTGTTGAATATGCGTTTGAGAAAGACTGTATAAATCAAGACAAATGAGTTCTCCTGGTGGAAAAAAAAAGTGTTATGTTGAAGATTACAATGATCAATTACTTTTCTTATTGTGGTGTAAATATAACTAACCCACCCCATCCCCCCAGTATATGTAGAAACCCACATTCAGATCATATTCTTATTTTGGACCACACTTAGGCATGTGTTAAGTCAGAATGAAATTACATCATGGCTTTAGTGCTAACCATGAGTTACCTCCAGAATAATGACTTTATTACAGGTCTGTATGCATTTACTTTTTCCCCAGGAAATTTATTTTTTTGAAAGCTAAAAAAAAAAAAGTGGTTTAATCCCTAATTATAAATTGTTATTAATATATTTTAGCTGAACATAGCCTCATAGAGGCTGTAGCAAACAAGTCATGCAGAAAAATGTGTATTAAACTGTGATGAAAAGTTTTAGATAAGCCAAGCTTAGTAATATCTGTTTTCACCATTGACAGGATTTTAAACTCCTTTATAAGCAATCAAAACCTAAATAAATGCTTATAATGACGTTTAACTATTTTCATATGTATTTTAGCTGAAGGGAAATATTATGAAATAGTGAAGACTTTTCTAAAGAAAAGTTTGACAACCTAAAACTTGGTCAGGTTTAGTATGTTTTACTGTTAAGAAACAGAGAAACAGTTTAGTAAACTACCAATTACTTAATAGAGCTTTGAGAATGTCAGCTGGACTCACCTTGAAATTTGCTAAGAAATATGTGGGAAATAAGAAAATGATACATACCATTGGAAGGAGTAACTCTGCTGATAGGGTCCTTGGGGTTATAGTAGACAGAAAACAATGTAGCCTTAATTCCAGCAGTCTGAAACTAAAAAGAAGAGGACAGTGCAGCATAAGTAGTAGATAAAATGACAGAGCTCTTTGCAAACTATTTAATGGGACCAAAATCATAATCTGTGGAATGTATTCAGCAGTACTTGAAACACATCAGGAGACCAGACTAAAAGCAGCTTAATTGTCATTAAGTGCTGAAATGATCGTGATTTACAAAGGAGAGACTAATCTCAATTGTGGTTTATACACATAAATGCACGTAGATGTGTGTGTGCATTTCTGTGTATAAGTGTGCATGAATATGTCCCTCTCAGAAGGAAACAGGACAGGCCAAAGACCAATAACCCATCTCTGAACAGTCTTGTGAATTGTGGCTTTAGCTTGTCTATAATAAAGGAGAGATATTAATTTGGACAGTCGTCTTAGCTGTTTTTCTTAATTCTGTTTTTTTTTTTTTTTTATCAGAAGATTATGGCCTTGCTAGGAGAAAAAAAAAAAAAGTATTAGAGGACTGTCAGGTATCTCAGCATGCTCTTTAACTTTAATGATCTCAAGACAGTTGACATAATGAGTTCTTTGACATGCTCACTTAGAGCCGATGGTATCACTCTATCTTTTTTGTCTTTGCTTATTTACTCAAAAAAAAAAAAATCCAGTTATATTTTTATTCCTTGTAGTAAAAAAATGTTTTAAAGAGGAAAAATATCAGGATAATGATTAAAACAGAAGCTGACTGAATTTATCCCCTCAGTCAAATTAAGATGTTTCATAACCTAAAGAACATGCAAAGTCCTACACCTGTTTTAGGGCAATCCCCAATACCAGTACAGACTGGGGGATGAATGGATTGAGATTAGCCATGTGGCTAGGTATTGGAAGATGAAAAATTAGATATGAGATGATAATGTGCGCTTGCAGCCCAAAAAGCCAATCGTATCCTGGGTTGTGTAAAAAGAAGTGTGGTCAGCAGCTCAAGGAAGGGGATTCTTGCCCTCTACTCTGCTCCTGTGAGACCCCACTTGGAGTACTGCATCCAGCTTGGGTATCCCTAGTACAAAAGAGATGTGAAACTATTAGAGTGGGTCCAGAGGAGGGCCACAAAGATGATCAGAGGGCTGGAGCACTCCTCCTATGAAGACAGGCTGAGAAAGTTGGGGTTATAAGAAGAGAAGGCCTTGGGGAAGCCTAACTGTGGCTTTCCAGTACTTAAAGGGGGCTTATAAGAAAGATGGAGAGAGATTTTTTTACCAAGATCTGTAGTGACAGGACAAGGTTTTAAACTAAAAGATGTAGATTTACATTTAGACACAAGGAAGACATTCCTTACTAATGAGGGTAGGGAGACACTGGAACAGGTTTCCCAGTTTGGTTGTGGACATTCCATCATTAGAAGTGTTCAAGGTCATGCTGGATGGGGTTTGAGCAACCTTATCTAGTGAAAGATGTCCCTGCCCATGGCTGAAGATTGGACTAGATCTCTAAAGATCCTTTCCAACCCAAACCATTCTATGAAACTGTCATTTTAGCATTAGCATTTCCCATGTCACTATTATTTTCTACAACATTTTTTCCCAAAGCAGATATATTTTATTACATAATGTGCTGGTCAAGGTAATACTTGCAAACTCTTATGACATTTTAAAAAAAATGCACAGATTTTCCATGACTGTGTACAATTTTGCACTTTTATCATTAGACTAGCCTAAATCACATAGTGTCTTTTGTCTGACAAATCTTGTTCAGATAGAATGTATCTCCAAGACAGCTGATTTACTCACTTGCCAATATCAGTGCTCATTTTAAATCCCCTGCTAAATATATTTACTGTGAATGTAATATTTCAGGTTCAAAACTTTTTTTTTTTTGTATTATTTAGTTTCTACGATGGTATATTTACAGACCAAGCGATGCTTTGTGTCTTCAGTCTAGTAGGTATGTTCTGTCCTATTGCTCCCTTGCTGACAGCTGCAGCAAGCCTGGCAAGCAATTACAGAGCACATTTAATGAAAATAATTATCAGTAGTTGTAGACATGCAGTATCTGACAGAGCAGCAGCATGAATGCTCATTATGGGATTCCCTGACACATGCAAGGTCTGCTACTTCCAAACTGTTTCAAGCACTTGAAAAAATAATATCTAATTTTACATATACTCAGTAAATATTTTTTTCTAGTTTTCCTCAGTTTCTGTATTCACCTGGGCTGACTCTACCTTGTACCAATTTACAGATTCACTCCTCTCTCAGATTGACTTTTTTTCTATAGGATTTCAAGAACAATAGAGAAATTTATTTTGAAATATTTATTTTAGCCTGAAATCTGAATTAGGAATAAGTGCAATGGAGTCACAGAACTATACCTCTTTGTGCACCCAAGAGACATGCTGCTCTGGCAGTTGTTCAAGATTCTATAGTAAATGAGGTTACTTTTTACAATCACTTTCATCTTTGCCTACTTATTGGTGTAGAAATTAGAAAGTCAATAACGAATGAGGCAGAGAATTGTGGGACCAGGAAAGCTATCATGGCAACATTGGAAATTCAAACAGGCACGACTCGTATATAAAGAATCATAGACACAAAAGTTCTCACACAGAACTTTTTGCTCATGGACTGTCAAGCTGACCTGTACGTGTTAAGCAAAGCCAACACACTACAGTACTATTAAGCTTCTGCATTTACATGTTCATACTGACTCTCTATAGTCCGTTTGATTTGTTTTATTAATGGCACATATTACAGTATTGCTCACTGCTTTATACATCAGTGCCTGCAACTTTTAGATATCTAACAGGGTAAGCTTCAAGGTGTCCAGAAACAGGATAGCTTTTTGCACAAAGTATATACCAGTAGATTTCCTGCTGAAAGCAGTTTATCACATATGACTGGTAAAGCCAATTGGATCAGTTTCAAATCTCTCAAATAATATATTCTTCATTATATACTAAACTTTGTTTGATTGCAATGAAAAATGTTAAAAACCACTTGCATTTAGCTAAAATTGCAATGAACCCCAAACATAATGTCAACATTGGTTGTAGTTGGATAATTTCCTGCTATAGAGCAGGTTTCTTGATTTACAGAAAATGTCCGTTTTTCACCTTTAACACTGAAGATCTTTAGTGTAGCAAAACCTTTGAAGACTTGTTACAGCCTTGGATTTGCAAGTTTGAGAAATGTATATCCATTCTGTAGCTTTTGTATGCCACATTTCCTGGCTTTATAGAATTGTGCATTATCAAGAGCAATGTTTCAAACCTGGTTGTGTTTCCTGGTTACCTTATAACGATTTGCTGGCCTTAAGAACTTAACAAAATCATATTCAGTGCTGAATGCTCAGACAAATATTGCCCACTTATTATCTTGGAGAAGATGAAGGTGTTGATTCAAGTATACCTAATTTATAGCAGCCTCAATGGAAATGTCTGCACAAATCACCTTGATGTAATTTTAGCTCATATTAGATTTTAGCTTTAAAATATCTCATTTAAAGAATGTTTGTTAGCTGAATAGCTTGTGCTAGTCCAGGGATTAGCAAGCCTGGAAACTTTCTAGATGCAGGATGAAAATACGAGCAATTTGCCGTGCTCAGTGTTGTGTCTGATCACAAGTTGATTACATAGGGTAACACTGTCCTGGTTATGTCTTTATGCGTTTCAATTTCATGAATAATGGTTGAAAACCTTTCTGTGAAGCATACCATGTAATAGGTCTCTGTAGAGCTGTGTGCAGTGTGACAATATCTTTTATTTTCCTTTACTTTTGGCATTAGGAAGAACTGAACTGAGTCATTTGCACTAGTAGCAGATTCCCCATTAGATTTGTGTTAGACTGTGTGCCTATTGAGTGTTTCAGACATCATTTTAGTGGCCAGGAAGTGGTCCAGGAGGACAGTTTTCCAATGTGTATGAGGCTGGCAAAATCAAAGCGTTCATTAGTCCAAGCTTTTCACTGGAGTAGGCGTTGACACTGTTTGCCTTTTCTTTGTCATTGCAAAATATTTGTGTTATGTATCTCATATGGCTATTGATAGAGGACAGCTGTATGGAAAATAAAAAAATTAAAAAAAATTTCAGAGATTCCTATCAGGAAACAAGATTTTCCAATTCTGAAGGCATTGATGCTAAAAACATACAGCCAACACACAACACTTTGGGGTCAACACAGTTCCAAAACAAATCTGTCTGTCTCTCTGCTTTTCTATATTTCTATGAGGGATTCAGAGATAGCTGGTGACAACAGCAGTACAAGGTCATCATATCTGCCATGATCTCTCTGTGAAAGGCTTTCAAAGCCTCTCCAAGCGAAACATTTCCACGTAACTGATTTTATTTGTGATGGGTTTATCCTGTTCCTGTAGAAAATATTTATAATTACATAAGCTTTTTCATGTTTTCAAAGTCATATTTATTTCCTCATGCATGTCTTATGCATGGGGAATCTCATGTATCATATTGCACCTAATTACTTCAGCAAACATCAGTACTGTGCATTTAGAACATTTTTAGACACAGAAGAAAGAAAATGGTTGTGATGCAAGTTAAGTGGAAAAATACATTCTACCTCATACGCTGTTTCTTTTAGACTAGCATAAATGTCTTGGAGGTCAGGAAAACCAATTAGCAAGAGGTTAGTGTGGGCTCCCACAAAATAACTTTCCTTTAATCTCCTGTCAATGCAAAATATTTTGTCAAATTATTCAATGAATCAAGTAAAAAGTAAGTTGTCTAAAATTCTAATAGTCTGGATTTTCAAGATAATTGGTATGATAACGGATGTTATTAGTCATTATTTTGTCTTTTTTTGCATCACTGTTGCACTAAACTGTTTCAATATTAAGGTAAAATATGTAATTTAAAATCATTTAAAATGCTTATTTATCAAGACTAACTTCACCTGTATATACCAAATGCTGAAGTCAGGAATAAGATCTTTAGCTAACCATCAAAGATATATTATCAATTTGTAAATTGTTGTACAGCTTTTCTTACACTGACAGGTTGTGGCTATTACATAACCTCAGTAAAGTTGAACA